GGCGTTTCGCGCCAAGTCCTTCTCCGTGACGCCAATCGCGAGCAGGTCCCCTTTCCATTGCACCACGTCAACCTCCTTCGACGCGAAAGAAATCTTCCATTTACACACGTTTATGTCAAGTCAGAGTAAATTCAAATTCAAATTCAACTGAAATCAAGAGAAATGAAATTCAACCTTGGGGGTTTCGGTGTTGGATGGGCGAGTGAGGCCAAGGGTGGCGTAAGCCATGAGGTTGCGCAGTGGTCGTCGTGACGTAAGAGAAAGACGCAGTAACGGCGCAGTTGACCTTCGAGTGAGTGTTTTGAGAAAGAAAGAAGAAGACGAAGAAGAAGGAATGAGAAATTGAGCAGTGAGGATAGTGGAGAATGCAGAGGAGGCAGCAACTATGGATGCCATTTTCGGGTGTGGGAAGGTCTATCTATTTATCGTGGGGTAAAGTGGTAATATGGTGTGACGGGTGGCTTTTTTGACAGTGCATCGCACTCGCGCTCGTCGTTATTCTATCTCTTTTGGTAGCCATGGCTACCTATCCATGGGCCACTGTGAAATATCTAGGCTAAGTGCTTTTAATTTTTCATTTCTTTTTTATTATATTTTTATTTTAGATAATAACTTCATAAACACCATTTTAGATAATAACAACATTTTAATATTATCTACATATCATTCGTCCAATATTACTTCATAATCAATAATAATAATATCATAAACACCAATATTGACCAATTACAGATATAAATGGTGTTAACATGTTAAAAATATTGTGAGAGTATCATTATCCTTTTATTTATTAATTTTAGAATCGAATTTGCTTTTATTAAAAATTTTGATTTTTAAGTTTTAAAATTTTATGAATATATTTTTTTAATTAATTTATGTTTTTTACGTGATAAATATATTTTACGGTAACATTTAATTATTTGTCAACTGTTTGATACATTTTTATTTTAATACTAATTGAAAAATATATTTATCAAGTAAAATAAATAAATATAATTGATTTTAAAATATTATATTTATTTACTTTTAAAATTTGGAATCAAAATAAATTAAAATTTTAAACATAAATGATTTTTAATTTTGAGTAAAAATTCATAACTCTAAAAACATATTTAATTTTATTGCGATTTTAAGTTTTTTAAAGTTCAATTTTTTGCTTAATCTTTTAACTAAAACACTAAATAAATTATCTCAATATCGAGTTGCGTATTTGTGTTGCTGAATTAGATGAGATATTCTGAGAAATCAATAGAAAAAGACGTGTTGAAAAATTATCAATAAATTATTAATGTTTCGTTTGATTTAAGAATGTAATAAATTATTTTAAAAAGGTTGTGTATTAGACATTGACTATCAATAGTGTAATACTGATGTTCTATATTGCCAATAAAGGTATGTACGTAGACATTAATAATAATAAAAAGTCAAATATTTTGTTTTATTTCGAACATTTATTATAATTACATCATGTAGTCTTTCTTTTAAAAATATAATAGTCCAGACAACATAAGTATTATATTTTGTGTATTAAACCCTATATATAGTAGTCTACAACATCAGTTGATAATAACTTGATCCATGTAACATAAACAAATATTTAATAAGCATGAGAGTAAAAATTTCTCAAACAAAACAATTTTTCTGTTGAAAAAGTAACATTAATTTTATTCCCAATAATGGTCGTGGTTTGTTTGTGATTGATGTACTAGATATTATTTTTTTTATGTTCAACTTTTAAAACTTTAAGAGTAATTTCAAGTTTATGTAGTTACATTTCATATGACATATTTATTGTTTTGAAAAGACCTTAAGCAACGGATCTCTTATTTAATAACTCATAAATCTATTTGTACAAATTATTTTATCTCTTGGTAAAAAAAAAGAGTAATTTAATCATTTTTTATTACACATTTGTTTTTGTTGAACGAAACATTACACATTGTTATATAATTGACACGTGTTTGGTAAATTATCTTTAACACGGTTTAATAATAAAATGTTATTAATACAAATAGTATAACTCATAGTTAACTTCTTAATATCAATTATATTGTATTTCTAACGTTTGTCAAATGTAATGTTTCTTTGACACTTTATAAAGTGTAGAAATAAATATTTATTGTATAATTCAACAAGAACATCCGTTGTCCAAACATCATGATAAGGGTTTTTTTCCTCTTATGAAACACATTTATAATGTAATTCATTCTAAATGTTTGCAAACAAAAATACAAACTTTTTGTTTCACCATTTGTAAGAATATACACGACAAATCTACCAGATTTGCTCAGTAACGATCCTAAGCATTGATGAACTCTATGTGACAAAATGTAGAATTGTGTTCAAATTTTAAAATTTAAAAAGGCATAACATGCCTCGTTGTTTGATCTCCTAAATAGCAAAAAAATCCACACGCAAATATTTGCGAATAAAATTCACGACGTATAGTTAGTATCCGCAGATATTTACTATCTGCGATAGTGAATATTTTAATATCCGTTTATAAACGGGTCAGATGCGGTATTTGCAGATATCCGTCCGTAAAAAGAAAATAATTCATATTTTATTAAGTTAAATTTAATTAACATTATCATTAATTTATATTTTATAAGGTTAAATTTAATTCAAATTAAATTTTAATTTATATTTAATTTTATATATTTTTGTAATTTTATTTAAATTTTATTCTAATAATTTATAAAAATATATATTTTTTGAATATTTACGGTTATCCACAGGTATCCGCGGGTTTTAAAATATTCGCGGGATATTTTTTAAGCGGATATTTATGTTGATAGCAGGTCGAATAGCGGGTAATTTTTTTTTATCGGATCGGATTAGTGATAGACATTGTCCATGTCCAATCAACCCATTGTCATCCTTTTCCTAATTAACAATTTGGAGACATGTTTTGATTTGATGGTATTCCATTTTCTTCTCACTTTTTAATAGTCTAATATTTACATCTACAAGTCGGTTACGTTTAATGAACTCGAATACAACATCATCACTTGCACTTGTTTTACAAATTTAGGTCGTTTCGATGTATGGTCGAGCAGTAGAGGCCGAACGTCATTGGTGAGCGAAGGGCCGAACGTTTTAGGCCGAACGGGCAAATGTTGGAGTATTTGAGGACGAAGACCCGACAATATGTGAGGCCGGACGGACGAGTGGTGGAACGCTCGTGGCTACTGAATGGACGTGAGGCCTGTTCAGAAGGGTGAGCGATCAAGGATGTCAATCCTGGGTGGGTGGCCGCTAGGTTCTACCGATTGGTCATGATACACGCTCGGTGTTGTCGATCGACCTAGATGGACGACCTTGGAGTGTGGCTCGTTCTTGATGGTCGTCTTGAATGGACGACCTTCGACGACCGTTCGGTCAATGTGTCGGACGGACCGTACGGTACAGTATCTAACCCTAGTCTTGGCTTGAAGGCGCTACGTATGGCGTGGAGGTGGAACCGAACGACGAGTTGGATGGCACGGGGTTTTGAATCTGCGATTTGCTTGGGTTATGATTTGGAATTTGAGGGTTTTTATTTGCAGGATTGTGCGATCGTGGAGATGATGGGGATGAATTAATGGTGCCCCTGTGACAGCGGTGTCTGGTGGTGCGTGGCGGAGGGTGATGGACGGACCCGATTTGGGGGCTGTCTCTGCGCTGGGTCTGACCCGAAAAAGAGGCACGATTTCGCAAAGGTGTTTACTGGCGTTAATGGCTCACGGGGGAGAATCCTTGCGGTGATGCGAGAGTCACGGTCGTAGAAGACGCCGAGCCAGTTGTTGCAGCAATTGGTGCTGGTCTAGGAATTGGATCTTGATAAAGACGACGTCGGTGGCGACGGAAGAAGGAGAGAAACTCGCTGGAGGCGTCGTTTGATCTGGTAATGACAGTGGCGTCAATGGTTCGCGGAGGAGAATCTTGGCGGCGATGCAGCGATTTGATGGAGTAGCTTTATCCGAAGAAGTGATTCATCGAGGCTGAGTGCTCCTCTTGCGGTTTTTGTGAGATGACACTCGGCCCCACGGTGGGCGCCAAAATGTTTCGGTATAAATGTTGTCCGGTGTGTCTTTGTTGCTCCTGGCTGTCTGGGACGCTTGCTCTTCTCCAATTGTTGTTGTTCATGCTTGCCAAAGGAGGGGGCGGTACCTGCAAAGATACTCCGACGCTCAAGTCAGATGTGAGTTATGGAGCCTCAGCTCTCAAGGGAGTGATTATGATACTGCTCTGAAATATTATTCAGGGTCTCTAGAACATAAAGAGAACGTACCTGGACCTTTGCCCTGTTACTGTATTTATAAGCAAAATAAAAATAACCACCTTACCTAAAAATGTGGTTAGTTACTTAACTGTTTAAAATATCTAAGATATTTTATGTAATAAATATAATATCTAAGATATTTTATGTAATAAATATCTTACTACATAACAGTAAAGTTACAATCAAAATAAACTAAATTGTGAAAATAGGCCAAAAACACAAATGGGGTTAAATTGTGTTTTGGGAATTTTAAAAAACAATTTTGCAAATCTTTAACTTGATAAACACAAACGAAGTTTAATGTCGTGTAAGAGATGTATTTGACAAAATTTATCATATTCAATTTCAATATGACAATTGTATTATAGCAACTTATTTAAAATTTCAAAAAGTTCTCATCTTTAAGTTAGTTGAAGATAAATGACATGAATATATAGTTTTATGCATTATGTTTTCATATTGGTTTGTTTTGAAGAAACATAAAACATTTAATTTTTTATTAACTTGATCAAGTTTCACCACTA